GGGGGGGGGGGGGGGGGGGGGGATCGCCGTTCTCGCGCGTAACTCCGCGGCCCGAACGTTCCTTCCATGTTAACGCGACAATAACCTACCTGTATCGCACACGCGCGTGTTATATAATAATGCGCCTCACTGTTTATTGCGTAATCGTATTATGTGTAAACTGATCGCTATGCTTGGTGTCCGACGCGCGCGCGATTGGACGGAGCATCCCGGATATTCCGCTTTACCGCGCCTCCTTTCGTTCACGCATTTATACGGGAAAATAGGATCGGTTGATCTATAGCTGACCTGCTGCACGCAAAAAAAGAACTAGCTTCCAGAGCTAAAAAATAGCTGTGACAGATAAGATGTGTCACTGACACATATAGGGACAGCTAATGTCGATACTACCGAAGCTAAATTTATTCGATGTTTAAACTTAGGCTCTACAGCGAAATATATTAGCTGCTAAAAACAAATGACTGTAGCAAATGATTGTAGCTGTGCGGCAAACTTCTTTAATATATGCATACGATAAGAAATGTAGGAATAACTGCCATTTTCTTATTTGAAATAATACGCATTTTTAATGTCACCTAATATATTTGTATTTCATAGCGAATGCATTTTAGCTGTCATAGCCAATTCTTAGCAGTGAAACGATTAGCTTTTTGACTAAGTTTGAATCAGCTACCGTGGTTCAGCTGATATTACTAAGTCATTTTTTTTGCGTGTGGACGCAATTAAGTCTTGAGTAATTATAACTAAACAGATTTGCTGGTGCAGCAAAGAAATTGTGTGTGGGCGGCAACTGTCAAACTATTTGTGACAAAAAACCTATTGTTGTAGACAATATCTTGGATATTGCAGCAGGTCATTATGCATTCCGAGCTGTAGTATCTCAATTTATTATGTACGATCTTGTGCAACTTTGAAACTTAATTACTGCAACACAAAAAACCGGCTGTCTGTATATTACGATCATAAATTTGCGAGCCTGGCGAGATTATGAGCTGTAAGGACAGATCTTCCTCTTTTAGCGTATGCCCTCGGGCGTTACGTGATTCAAGCTTTGGCTGAACGCCACTTTTAATCAAGCTCTTTAATCCGCGTCGCTTTAATTCAAGGGACATTATGAAATTCTGGGCCAAACTTTGAGCAACGCGAGGAAAACGATCGGTCGCAACGAATAAGGGATGATGGAGACATTAAATGCGCGCACAAGGACACGGGCGCTCGTGTCACGCGACAGTATGTCGCGTCCTGCGAATTTAAATAGGCCACGGCGAGAGAGAAAAATGGAAGACGCGAACGTCGCAGTTGGAAAGTGACCAAACGCAGGAACTTAGCTTTTAACCCCGCCAATCCCCGCCCTCGGGGACGCGTCTCCCGCATTTCGGCGCGTGCCTGCGTACGCACATGCGTGCGTGGGTGAGAACGAATCGCGTGCGCTGCCGGAATGCCGTTGCCGTCGCCTCGTTCAATTAATCGACGAGCACTTGGCATTCAAAGCGAGCCCTCAGCCATCTATCTGTCAACGTCACGCATTTTTGCAAACGGTCGCGATATTGATTGAAGGGCCCGCCTTGATTGAAGAGTTAAAATTTTATCGAATCATTTAACGGGGTATCGCGCGTGAGCGCGCGATCGCAGTCGAGCCGAGTTCCACGCAGAAAAAGTGCCGTCAAGTTTAGGGCCATTTTCTCCCAAGTGCTGAGGCACATCACACGTTGGTATTTGCGTACCTTTAATCTACTCATGAATAGCTACAGCTTTATCAACACATTATTTCAGATTTGGAATGCCATAAAGTGGGGCTTGTGAGAGCTTAGCTGCTCTCTTTCCCAAGATTTCTCCAGATGCACAGCAAAGATTCCGACTAGAATGCCCAAGTTTGCCTCAAAATTGGTTATCCTACTACGATACTATTTGAGAATCCCATTCTTTTCCCAAGCATGGGCTCTCTGTAATCAAATCAGAAGTACCGTAGAAACTCGCGCTCCTTCCCCGTAATCCAGTATATAATATTGGTATATTTCTACTAACAGGTATCATAATGAAATCACATTTTCCCACCAACTATTGAATTCAATGGAATGAAATATCAGAAAATAAAGACTTTCAAGACACTTTGAGCATTTTGCTGAATAATTAATTCATTTGGGAAGTCAACTTGTGTCATTCAGTTCCAATGTAAAATGAAGACTAGAGAAACTATTGGCAAGACTTTTTTGGATTTCTCTACTTGGAATCGCGTGATTATCCTTGCATCCAGAACCCATAATTATTCGAGGACTTCGAGGTCTCAATTAAACGCTGAGAGATCTACGCGGGATATCGCGAGATCCCATTTGGCGAGCGTCATTCGACGGTCACCCTGAACTTTTTATCGTTGGTGCAACACAATGAGGCTCCCGTGTGTGCTCCGGGATGAAGAGTGTATCGTTTTTCAGGGCGGGCATGTGTGTTTATGGGTCACGAGGTTCGCTATTCATTCACGGCCGGGACTCGTTCGCCTTTGTCGTTCGATCGGATGGAACGCGGGCGCGGCATCGTCGTCGTTGTCGACGAGGGAAGCCCCGCTGACGGTCGGCGCTCTCGAAAGATCCTCTTTAATACTCGTTCACGGTGGGACGGATTCACCTCCCGTTCAACGACGTGACGATAATAAAGTGTGCGCCTCGCCGGTAGCGAGAGTCGAGATACATGGCCGGCAGCGAGCTAACGATCCTAATTCTCCCGATTACGGTCGGCTTGGGAATCGCGATTCTCGTTCTCGGCCACTCTTCGCGCTCTTGAGGTCGCCGCCGGGTCGATCAGCTCGCAATTACTCGCGTGTTTTGCGAACAACCTCGTCGCTCCGGGCCGTTGCGAATCGCGCAACGTTATTTTGCATCCCCCCGCTCGCAACTTGCGGCATGGTTCTGGCGCAAGATTCCGTTATCAATTTGCATCCCGCGACCACGTGATCCTTCCCTCCAAATAGTCCCCATAAATTGCCTGATATCGAAACAGTCATCCTACGATATTTTGCTCCCGCGCTTAGCGGGTCAAGTCGCGCAGATAACGTACAAGGACATCGCCAATTCCTCGCTCGTGACGCGCTCCTTGCGGAGGCGTTGCGGCCGCGGTCGTTCTGCCGCTTGTCGTTTGCCAACGAGCGTTCCAAGACCTTGCGTGCGTACACTCCGCACGTCCTGGCTCGAAAATCCGCCAGGAAGAAGCGCAGGGTTTTGACGAAGCCCCGCTATCGCGAGAGAGGCAGATGCGGAAGACGCGGTCGCTGCGAAACTCTCGCGAGGACAATGCGCCGCCGGCGGTTCCCGGCGAGCAGGAAGAGGGGGTGATGTGCACACGCGCACCCGCTCTCGCTCGGCGGGGGTGATCGGAAGAGATCCGAGAGAGCGAAAGCCGTGGCGCTCCCCGAGCCCTTGCCACCCTCCCTCCCTCCCCCCCCCCCCCCC